TTAGTTATAAAAATGTAATTAATCTATTTAAGGTAACCTATTAAGACAATAAGTAGGTATGCAAGTTGTATGCCTATCCGGGCGTAATTACGGGGGGGGATATGGGGGATAGATCCCCCCCCATGAGCTGTATTTATATATTGTCTTATACCTACAAATAGTTCAAATAAAAACTTATCAATTATTACGAAACTAAAAAAAAAAAAAAAGGTTAGAAGGCATGATTTCAAAATAAATGGTCTGATTCATTTTAATTCTTATTTATTAATAAACATTGGGTGCCTTGCCACACACTGTACAGTGTCTGTACCTAATTTTGAATAGATTATAGATGGTAAGTAATCCGATAATGGGAAAAACCACCATTCCATAAAAAGTAGTAATAAAAATGTAACTAAGATTTACATTTCGTAGAATGAATAATAGCCATAGATAGTAGGTAAGCACTAAGAACGCGCGCCGACACAAAGTATCTACATTGATTATTGCGATTACGTATAAACAGTAAACACTACACAGACACAGTAGGTATACACACCATGTCATTCTCTCATATTCACAGTGTCACTGGGTCAGTTACATTTTTATAAGCTAAAAGCAAAATGGAGCAAAAAAAAAGAAAATTACCAGCAACTAGCAGTACTTTATTGAATTTTTTTAAAAAGAAGCCTGGGCCTGACGTAAGTATTACAATTTTAAATACTAAACATTATTAGACCCGGAATTAAATGTTTAAATATTATGTATGACGTATTCAACTTATTATAATTAGCATTACAACTCGCGCTAAAATTATGCAAAATTAAATTAACACCAGTTAAAAAAAGTACCTATTAAAAATATAATTGCAGTCACTGCAGTTTATTCAATAACTATTAGTTATGTCATATTAATTATTATAAAACATTTAAATGAGTTTATTAAAATATTAAAACATTTAAAAACATATTTGTAAATGTAAAATGTTATGTAATATAGAATGATTATATTTAGATGTGTTGAGTTATTAAATTATAAAAAATATAGATGAGGGGGTGTGGGCCGCGGGGGCAAAGGCCCCCACAAGTTTACCCTACAAATTTATTTTGATCCCCCCCCATCAAACATTCTCAGTTACGCCACTGTAGCCTATCCCCAAATACAAATTCCATAGCTAATTTAATAAAAGGCTACTAATAGGCAGGCGCAGATCCAGAGGGTGGGCCTGGTGGGCCCGGGCCCACCCAAACATTTCAAGAACAATAATTTTAATTTTCAATATTGGCATTCAAGTTGTTATTTTAGAATTTTGACTATAAGTTTTAAAATTGATTTTATCAAATATATTATATATGTATTAATCGTGCATGGGGATTATAACAAAACAACATTATATTTAGGTACCATTTATAATAAGTTATTATTAATAACATGTAATTGCCCGTGTGATTAACCTGATTTTATCTAAATATCGATCGTCGTCGTTCGAATGCCGATGGAACTCCGATAAGATATAATACTTTGAAATAATTAACAATAGCGTCATGGAAATGAACCGAAGATTTAAGCAAACAGAACTAATTGAAGCAGTGGAAGCCTGTAATCTAAGCTCCAAAATGTTTTTAGACTTTGACACACTTATAAAATTGCCAGGAATTTCTACAGATAATCAATTTATTGAAAAGTTGAGAGCACAATGTGATTTAAGAAAAAAAAATGTTTGCTGCAGATTCAAATTCTATAGAAGCCTATTTATCAATTAAAAGCATGGGAGCATCATTCTTACAGCTAGAAGAAGTGTACAGACGAATTTTAGTTATTCCAATTTCAAGTGCTACAGCTGATAGGAGTTTTCCTACAATGAAAGAGAATTAAAACGTATAATAGATCGACCATGACCGGAAAACGTTTATACAACCTAGCTCTGCTATCGATTGAACGAGAAAAAAGTGAAGAGTTAATACAAAATCCAGACGAAATTTTAAATGAATTTGCTAGTAATAAGTTAAGGGCCGCTTTCACCAAATACTTTAAACTTCGATTACGCTTAATCGACTGATAACAGATATTTAACCGGGCAAATTCGGCCGATTAAACCCCGGATTAACTTTAATCGGAGTTTAAAGTATTGGTGAAAGCGGCCCTAAGAAGGTTAAATTTTTCCGTTTAACTGTATTTCAATATATTTTTTTTTTAACTTTTATTATATTTATAACTAAATGAAAATTATTCTTTATTAAATCTTAATTTTACTGCATTATCGTATGTGGTTAAATTTACGGTTAATCCCAAAAAAAATATTCCTGGATCCGCGCCTGCTAATAGGTATTATATTGTTTCGTAGCATACTCGTTCGTAGCCAATTTTTGATTCGGCTTTATAAGTTTACAGCCTATAATGGTTACATGAACAGGTATAGCCGTATAGCTGAGAACTTAAAAGGTACCTTTTTTTTTTAATATACATATATATAATATACCTAGGTACATATATCATTGTTTATAAAGGCTTATATTTTTTGGGGGTGTGTGAAGTAATGAATACGCATCTGTTTATAGGTGATTTTACTCTAAGATGAGTCGTTATAAAAAATTGTTTGGTGAAAGCGTTTGTCAATGTTGCGATTGGGTCAGAGAGAAAACATTATTGCGATGTCCTCTATAAATATTATATCGTAATATGGATTCCGAAAATATGTTTTGCAGTAATTAACTGCTATAGGTACTTCAAAATCTAAATGTGAAAATATTGGATCTTTGTACAAATCGAGTCTTGCACATTCTTTTAAAAACAATATGCAACACTAGATATTTGTTCAAAATAATATGTAGATTCACTTTTCCGATGAAAGGAATATAGGTACTACTATTCTGACTGCGGTAACAAATATTTAATTTATTAAGTCATTGGGTATACAGTGGAACCTCGATAAGTCGAACCTCGATAAGTCGAAAACCTTGATAAGTCAAAAAAAATTCCGTCTCCTTGCGAAAACCTCGATTACTCGTAAAAAAAAATATAGATAACTCGAACATTCTGTGCTCCGAATATGACGGATAATGACAGATAATTTTATAAACATTTGTCTAATCGGCTTGTCCGTTCCGATAATTTTATCTAATCTTCATTGTTTCAATGAAGCAAGCAACAGCAGCCCTCATATTGCTAAGGACATTCATCGAACAATTGAGTAATGTGGACGATAATGTGTACTCTGCTTTAAATGTAATAGAAAATACAATTGATAATAGCAACTCTCAAATTTTAAGTCAAAGTAAAATAATAAATTATCTTTTATAAAGTTGCAACACATGTTTTATTATATTTTTTTGTAATAATTTTTTTGGAACAAATCTACTTTACCAACCCCCTCACGATTTTCAAAATTTTTTTTTTCAAAAGACTTGTTTTTTTATGCTTAAAACGATGGTGTAATTTTTTTTTCCCCGGAAACTATTATTTTAGAAGTTATAGCCTTCCAAAGTTTGCGATTTGACGTTTATGCGCATGCGCGCAACACTACTATAATGAAACGCGGAGGACTATTTTTGTTATTTTTTTGTACTTACGTATTCTAACCTGTTTAAAACGATGGTACAATAATAATTTATCCCCCGACTTGCTGTGCAACACCTCCCCAAGTGGGTCACAGGGTTGAGAAAATATCATTTTTGTTGCACCGAGGCACCAATTTGAAAAAACATCGTACAGTGATGCGGTGCTAGCGGCACTCGTCGCTACTCTCCTCGGCGCCGTCGCTCCGCTCCGCAAATCGAAAATATCCCCCGACTTGCTGTGCAACACCTCCCCAAGTTGGTCACAGGGTTAAGAAAATTGCATATATTTGCATATAATTACTATAAATTTAAAATTAGTATCAAATATATTTAACATTTTTACAGTATTTATTTATTATTTATTTTAATTGGGCTAATATACCTAGTATAATTAGGTACTCAACTATAGTTTATATTTCACCATAATAATGACGTGATTCACAATATTACTTACCCAAGACTGACTATGTCCCAAAACTTGTTAAAATACGTAAAAAAAAAATTTGTTATAGGCGCGCGTGGCAGTCAAGTAGCGTTGCGCGCATGCGCATAAACGTAAAATCGTAAACTTTGGAAGGCTATAACTTCTAAAATAATAGTTTCCGGGAAAAAAAAATTACACCATCGTTTTAAGCATAAAAAAACAAATCTTTTGAAAAAAAAAATTTTGAAAATCGTGAGGGGGTTGGTAAAGTAGATTTTAGCCAAAAACTTTAATACATACATACATTTTTAAAACTCTTTAAGTCGAATTTTTTTTCTAAAACCTTGATAACTCGAAAACCTTAGTAAGTCGAAAACCTTGATAAGTCGAAAAAAATGCATTTCCCTTGAATTTCGACTTATCGAGGTTCCACTGTAATTGTTTAAAAATTTAAAGGCAATCCTAAAATTTCAGTCAACAAACCATGTACCTACCTGCAGATTTAGGCTAATTTGTAATAACGACAAATAGTTATCGATAGCCGATATTAAAATTATATCCAATATTCGTGAACCATTGTCACATACAATCACATTTTTTACTTATTTTTTATTTAATATTCCGAAACAGATTATTATTCGGTGTACTTATCATTATATAAAAAATCATTGTATAAAAACTAATTTTAGACGATTAGCTTACGAGATATTATAATATAAATATTTAAAGATTACAAGTGGTGGTGTGTGGCGTGGAGAGGTGGCTCTACCAACTACGAGGGGTACCTACAGCAAAATATTTTTTTTTTTGAACAGTGTTGTTGTTTTTTAACGTCTTAAAATAAAACATGTAAATACTACAAAATTAAAAAGCGCGATTAGCACCAAGTAACAATAGAACATCGTCCGTCCATCGACGATTGCTCATTTGTGTAATAACGTTTTAACCAAGTTGATCAACTTATTTCGGACACGTTTTTTTACTCATTTCCTAACTATTGACCATTTCATTCTTATACAATAATTTACGTTGGAATTTATATGATGGAATTCGTCACAATTGAAGGATTCAGGACAAATAGTAAAATTGTCCACTGCAACAATGGATATTTCTACAAACTTAAATGTTCTAGGCCCAATTCAAAATCGCTACAATGTTTAACAACAGACTGCACTGCTACTGGTAATTAAATATGTTATACTCAATAAATTTTAGTACCTAGTAATTATTTTAATTAGGACGAAATCAATTTCACAACTTGAGCTAGGAGGTTGGAGACTGAGTATTTTGCATGTTATTTTGTACTTTTAAATAAAAAGGACTGTAGGACTCTCCGGAGATAAAAAATACACTAGGCACTCTAGTACTTATAATATAATATTTAAAAAAAAAAATTAATTTATGTTAAAATAGTTGGTCTTAATAAATACTATTTGGAAAAATTAAAGTTTTTATAAATACCTTACCTATGTGAAAAGTAAGTAAATACATTTAACAGATTTAATTATTGAAATAAGTTTTGTATGTAATAAATATGATAATTTTTGTGAAAAAGTTTTGCAAATAGGTTTATTACCAATTATTGTATTACCAATTTCTTAAAGGTCTCATTGTGGACAATTTATTGCATGAAAAGCGTACCCATACACATGATCCTGACATAGGTTACTCGGCACTGGTAAATCTGAAAAAAAATATTTTACTAAGGTGTGCAGAAGAATGTACCCCACATAGGATAATTTATGAAAATGAGACATCAAGGTAGTAATTTTGTCTTTTCATTTAATAATTATGAAGTGGCGGAAGCAGTACTTTTATTTTTAAAAAAACATTGCACATATATTTTATTTTATTTGTATCTTACATTACCTGTTTAGAACACAAGGCTTGGAAAATCGTTTGGAGTACACTTCATTTTTAAGAAGTATGGAGAGGGCAAGAGCTGCAGCTCAACCGAAAATTCCAAATGATCTAATGGAGTATGCAGGTGATTTGGTAGATCCTCGCTACAGTCACCTGTTTAGAACGGCTAACGGACGAGCAATGTTCAAAGGATTTGTAATGGGTGCTCCTGATGCCGGATCAGCAGTCGTATTCATCTCTCCATCCCTAGAAAAGTAATTAATTTTAACTGTATGTCAAGAACATAATGTTAGGAATGTTAGAATATAAATCTACCCTTTTGTATATTCAACAATTATCTTAAATTAAACAATTTTTAGCCTTTTTACTTCTGCTCGAGAAATACATGTTGATGCAACGTTTAAGAGTAGGCCTCTGGTTCCAGCAACAGAACAATTGTTAATAATTATGGCCATGTACATGGACCAGGTAAACTTTGTTTAAACATTAATACATAACTAATGTTATATTTTAATACATTATACCAACTTTTCATAAACTAACTTACCTACCACCTACTCTGTTTATTTTAACAGGCATTTCCAGTTGCATATGCTCTTATGACGCGAAAAACTGAAGCGGCATACACCAGTGTGCTACAAGTTACAACACATTAGGACTTGTGTTCCCGGTATTAGTGCCACAAACATTGTAACAGACTATGAGGTAGGGTTGAGCAATGCATTGACCAATGTTTTTTCAGGAGCCAGTTTACAGAAATGCTGGTTTCACATGGCTCAAGTAAGATTTCCTAAAAAATTTAACAATTTTAATTCTATTAGGTAAAATTTAGATATTTTAATTTATGGTATTGTGCCGTTTAAAGATTAAATATTAAATAATGGGTATTCGTTTAGTATGTGTCATGTGACCTACCAGACCGCGTGACCTACCGTATTGGGTATTCATTTAGTATATGATCCACAGGACCATTAATTAATTTAAAAACAGTTAAATTAAAAATCATAAAATTATGTTAATAATTATTTAACTAATATTAGTAATACAATATACAAATATAAAATAATACAGGATTACATTTAACAATGTCAAAATGAGTTAAACAAAATGAATGAAGACACATAGGTACCAAAAACAGCAATAGGTATGTCAAAACTATTCAATAGATTTCATAAAATTATGTTGTTATAAAAAAGTTTTATTTTATTTAAATTATATTTTTAGAAATACACTTTTTGTATTTTACTTAAATTTCAAAAATTCATCTTACCTGTTAATAGATCAGTACCCGTACATAATATAGATAATCGTCTTGGTAGGTCACATACTAAACTCGATTTTCACTCTGTAGGTCACATACTAAACGAATACCAAATAATGTTATAATGAAATAAGTTTCCAAAACAATTACTTTTATATACATAGGCACAAAGATTTTGGCATACGAAGACAAGTATACAGAACTGACAATGCGCTGCAATGCTGCATACTATGCTTCATATGTCAAAAGCTCTCGCGCTTTTGCCAGCTGAAAAGATTGCTGAAGGGTTTGAAGTGGTGGTCCAGGAGGCTAGACATTCTCAGAATGTTGAGGTTGCTGAACGATACATATCATATTTTAGAAATCAGTGGATGGAACGTGAGTTATTCTAAAAGAATTATCATTTAATTTTTAAAATTTGTTTAAAAATTAAAACTATTAAATAGGTAATACATATGTGATCATGACAATAATTTGTAACTTTTTAGATTTACGAATAGAATTTTAAAACTCAATTTTTCTTATATCCATTTATTTTACAGATAGTGAACACTTCAGTTTTACTATTCCAATAATAAATTATGATAAAAATTAAGTCTTAATATCTATTTAGTATCTATTCTTTTTTATTAAATGAGTTAGTTTTTAAAAAACCTCAGTACATTTGTATACCAACCTTTAAACTTATTATATGACTTATCTAGTAGATGAAATTGACAAAAACCAACCTGTTTTAAAAATATTTTAATTCATGTTCTTTATTCTTCCCTAGTTATTGAGTTTTTTTTTCCAAACCAATCGAAAGTCATATAATATATACTTTTCTTCCACTCTAGTTTCTACTAATTAATGCAATAAATTAAAATACTTCAATGAATAATATCAATAGAAACATTGATCAAAATTGAAAAAGAATATGGGACAAAATATGAGAGAATACAACAAAGGCCAACTCTAAGAGCCAGACGTCGAGCTTATGTTCAACTTGACAGGAAAATCAGTGCTGCATGTGAACGGTTGGCCCAGAGAAGAATTTCTGTCAAAGAATTTTTGTTATACACTGGGCATCTGGCTTATGATGCAGGTATGAACTATACAATATCTAAAAGAAATTAAAAGATAATTAGTAATTTTCAAGTGAATCTAAATAAAAAAAAATCATCATTTTGGGCAACATACAATATTTACATAAAAAATTGTATTTCTTAGAACGAAGACGTGGGGTTCGCAATGTCGAGGTTCACAATGGAATCGTACCTCCCCACATCTTGGAAACTATTGAAGGTAAATAAAAAAATAATCAAAATATTCATGGCTCAATGTTCACAATGTCAAAATGCAATTATCTAATTATTATTTTGTATAAATAACATTTCAGAACAAATTGTAACGGAAAATGTACAAAACAATGTTGTTGGAGGTTTGATTTTTATTAAATTAAAAATATTTCAGCTCAAAATAAACCATTTAAGTACTTACAAATATATTTTGAATTGTTAACTATAGGGCTTGGTGTTCAAATGCAAGACCGGTTCGAGCAGCAACAACAAAATGCCGAACAGTTTCCTGGTTAGTTTTTAATTAAAATATATTTAATAACACCCAGCATGAAAATTTAAATTACAAAATATATTATATGTTTTTACCTATGTCTATTTTCAGTTCAAGATGTGGCTGATTTTGAGATCGACGAAAACAGGGATCCAGTGTTCCATGCCATTCGTGAAATGGAAGCACAGAGAATGGCAAGGGAACTGGAGAATGTCCCTTATGTCCCAATCAACAATTCTTTTGCATTACCAAGGCAAATAAATTGCTGTGATATTTGCCTTAGTAATCAAAAAACACATGCGTGCTTGCCTTGTGGACACAAGTGTCTGTGTTCAGACTGTGCATATCAAATTACCAATCGATGTCCAATCTGCAACAATTTGATCACAAATGTAATTCGTATTTTTGATTAAGCAGGTACCAATAATTTTATTATTTTAAATTATTTAACATGCTTCGAGCTGGTACTTAATAGGTAATCTCATTTTATCACAATCTAAGATGTACCTACTCACAATATTTTATATTATTTATGTATATTATATACCATTAACTGTTTAGTAGGTACCTATGTCCTATTTATTATATATGACATGGCATAATGAAAAAAAATGTATATCTCTCCCTTACTCTTCACCTGAATGTTTTCAGCTCGGCCACATTAGGGACTTAATATTAATATTATTATAAATATTTTGGTTAATTAATAATTGGATTATATAAAAACTGTAACATTGTCATAACTATGGTGATAATATTATTATGTTCTTATTTCTTATTTTTGGTTCTTTTTTTTTTTTTGTATGATAAATATTTTGTGAGAAAGGTTTCGTCTAATTATAATATTATGTTGATATTTCTTAATTTGGTTTTTAGATTCTGAGTGAAACGATGAATGTATTGATTTTACAATGATGTGTGTTTTTTTTTTTATTTTTTTTTTATTTTTTTATTTTTTTTTTTTATTTTTGTGTCTGTCATCACGTTTTAGGACAGTAAAAGTGCTTGGATTTTCTTCATCAGTAGCTTTTCTGATAGGAAAGTGAATCTAGTTGGTACTTTGGGGGGTCAAAAGTATAAATTTCCCAGTAGTTTTCACAAGCGCCGGGAAAAAACAACATAAAAATTAAGGAAAAACGGGAATTTTTACGCAAAATTGGTTTTCCAAAAAATCGATTTTGGTTTTTGGTGTAACTCTAAAACAAATGAACGTATATACATGAAATTTTCACTGGTTGTTTATATTTGCATTTTCTATACACGATAACATTTTCAAAATATTTTGATTTATTTTGAACTGTTTAGGGACATTTTCATTTTTCATTTTTTTTTAGTTTTTTTTCTAGAAATATCAATAAAATTTTATTTGTTGGTTGCGAAAGCTTGAAAATTTAATAGAAGGCTCCTAATATGTTGTTTCAAAGGCAGATGAAAAATATTAAAAATCCTTAGTCACAATTTTTTTTTATAAGCACTTAAAGTTCAAAAATTGACAAAATATGGAAAAATCACGAAAATTAGCAAATTATTTTGAATTAAGAATTCGTAAAAATTTTTCTTTTTAAATCTAAGATTTGAAAATTTAACACAATATTCCTTATAAGATTATCTACCTTTATCAAAAAAAAAATGTCTATAAGAAAGTCAAATTAAATTTTTATGAGCGTTTGAAATTCAAATTTTTACAACATTGAATATTCACTCGATTTCCCATGTAGCGATTTCCTTAGTTTGTTGTAATTCAAAAACAAATAACTGTAGATACATGAAAATTTCACTGAATGTTTAAATTAGCATTTTCTATACACCATACAATTTTGAAAATATTTTGACTCTTTTTGAGCTGTTTATGGACATTTACAGCTTTCAATTTTTTTTAGTTTTTTTTTCTATAAATATCAATAAAGTTTTATCTGTTGGGCCAAAAAGTGTAAAAATTTAATACAAGGCTCCTGATATACTGTTACAATAGCAGTTGAAAAATATTAAAAATACATAGGCACAGTTTTTTTTTATAAGCATTTAAAGATCAAATTTTGACAAAATTTATCAAAATCTCGAAAATTATCAATCATTGAAATTAATAAATTATAAAATGTTCAGTTTTATAGCTAAGGATTGCAAATTTAAAACAAAGGTTCTCATAAATAGTTCATACTGTAACCAAAAAATCTAAAAAATATATGAACACAGTTATTTTTTACAGACATTTTAAATTCAAATTTGGACGAAATTACATATTAAAAACCTAGAATAACTATTTTAGTTATTTTGTTGTGATTGAATAATATTATTCGTGGGTACTTGAAACTTCTAAAGTGTACTATTATATATCTATGATAGTATCACGGTTTTGTTGATGTATAACGCGTTATAAGTACCTAATGGACATTGTGATATGATTAATTTGGAATATATTATAGGTACCTATTAATTATTATAGGTCAATTTTTTGTTTAATACCATAGATATGTATATAATATGTCTTAAACATAGACTGACATACCGTCTCCGCTCAGAATCGTTTTTCTTATACAATGATATTATATCGTTGAATTCAAATTTAATATCATCCATTATACAGTGACCCACTTGTAACCTACTGTACAGCAGAGCGACACCCACTTGCCCACCTTTTTTTTTTTTTTTTATAATAAATATTTTGTGACAAAGATTTTGTTTAATTATAATATTGTGTTTTTATTTCTTAATTTTGTTTTTTTTTTTTTTTATAATAAATATTTTGTGACAAAGGTTTTGTTTAATTATTATATTATGTATTTATGTTACTAACATTAGTTATTAACAAAATATATTTAACCCTAATAAGTTATTGTCAGGTGAGTATTTTACAATGTTTATATTAAGTATTAGCATTAGTGTTTTTGTACAAAGGATCTAACCCATATTCTTATTACATAATATGAGCTTAACTAATAATTTTTGTTTTTACTGGGAATATAATATAACAATTAACAATAATTGAAAACAAATTTCTGATAGTTATAGCTCAATAAGAGTTAAAATATTTTGTAAATTTATGATGTATGAAAAAATAACATAATATTAACATATTTTGATGAAATTTTAAGTACCTACCTATCTAATATAAAAAGTGTCAGAGTTACTTCAAAAAAATAAAATAGATTTTACCAAAAAATGGTTTTTGAGTAAAAATTCCTTTAATTCCTTAATTTTTTTTTTTAAACACGATCCCCATATCAATATGACTAGTTAGTCACTTGTAATTTCTTACTTTATATCCTCCAAAAAAACCAACTAGAATCACGTTCTACCAGAAAAGAGTAAAGACGATGAAGTAGAAAATGTATTTTAATCGAAGCATTATTAGTTATTACTAATTTTAAAGGTGGTGACAGGCAAAAAAAAATAATAATATAAAATTATAAAACACATCGGAAAATCAATACATTCTATTCATTCCGCTAAGAATTTTAAAGTACTTATGTAGACATGTAGTAGATGTTTTCCTCATGATGCTCTTAAATGTTATTTTAATAATCATAAACTTACGCGTTTATTAATGAAGTGTGAAAATTAAAATACTTACTTTGTTAATGTTTAAAGTATATCGAACATTAATTAATAATTACCAACAATAATCGGCAACTTATATCATGAAATTGACAACAGGCAGACCGACTGACGACTATATAGCGTCTATGGCATGATATATCAATGGTCTACGGCAGCGTTTCCCAAACTTTTTCTCTGCCGGACCCCTTAGAGAAAATAAAAAAGATCGCGGACCCCTAAATAAAAATTTAAATTAAAGCAATAATAAATAATAATACTAAATTGTTTGCTTTATTTTTAAAATTAAATACACATATGTTTATAATGAAAAATTGAATTAATAAAAAAAATGGATAAATAGATATATTATTTTTATAATAAATAATTAATGCGTTTAATGTGATGGATGGTGTTGTTTCTTTAATACTAAATCTGGTATTTTAGGATCTATATTAGAAAGTTGAATACGTAAATCTGATTCTATATTTAATCGATTTCTATATTTATTTTTAGTGTACACATAAGCTGAAAATCCTTTTTCACAGAGATAAGTTGTTGAAAAAATCATCAATGGCCTTAGGTCTACTACCCAATTTTTATTTTTGTCAGGAACTGGAAAATATTTTCGAAATGAATGTTTCAAAATTTGGAGGTGTTCAATAATTATATCTTTTGTGTCCTGAGGAAAAACTTCATCGGATGATTCTATAAATGCATAAAGAGTTGGAAAGTGGTTAAAATTGTTTTGAAGGGCACGTTTTCTCCATAACTCAAGTTTTTTTAACATAGCTTCAATGTTATCCTCCGTGTGAAAAATATTGTCTTCTTTCCCTTGTAAACTAATATTTAATGAGTTCAGAGAATTAAAAATATCAGCCAAATAGGCCACTGTACAGAGCCATTCAAAATTATTGAAAAGATTTGCATATTTAGTAACTTCCATAGAGTTATTAAAAAAAAACATTCTAATTTCATTTTTTAACTCAAAAACACGTGACACAACTTTACCTCGCGATAACCAGCGTACTTCAGCGTGCAATAGCAACTGCTTGTGTATACTTCCCATATCTTCACAAATTAAATTAAAAATGCGAGAATTCAAAGATCTAGCTTTTATTAAGTTAACTACTTGCACAATATCACGCAAAACTTCATTTAATTTTTCTGGCATATTTTTTGCAGCTAAAGCTTCTCTATGAATACAGCAATGATGCCAAATAATAGACGAATTAATTGTTTTTAAACGAGCTTGCAGGCCTGATCTAGTACCAGACATCGCACGAGCTCCATCTGTGCTAACCGCCACACAATTATTCCATTTTATATCATGACTTATTATAAAACTATTTAATATATTAAATATTGCCTCACCTGTAGTATTGGAAGGTAGAGATATGCAAAATAAAAAATCTTCAGTAATAGTATTATGATTTTCATAACGGACATATGCAAGTAAATTTGCGTCATTGCAAATATCTGTGCTTTCATCTAATTGTAAAGAATAAAATTTACTTGTTTTGATATTTGAAATAAGCTGTTCTTTAATGTTTTCGCGGACCCCCTCCGGTATACGTGCGGACCCCTAGGGGTCCGCGGACCACAGTTTGGGAAACGCTGGTCTACGGTCTACCTCGTACTGACAACTGACTACTGACTATTGAGTATTGAGTTCAATTTATCATCGGTTTAAATCTCGGGCTTGATAACTGCTCTCTTGTATTATTTCTTCAATTATCCCGCTTGGTTTTAACTGGTTTTCCTAAAAATATGTTACCTACCTGGCTACCTCTGTATGTCTGTAAAATTATATTTAAGAGGACGCCACACCCGCATGTGTTGTCTCCGTCTTACAAATGTACAACATAGCAAAAACTCTTTTGCGAGGGACAACTTTTCTCGCACCATATTTGTTTTAGAACTACCAAATTTTCACAGCACTTAAAGAAGAACTTTATCTGTGCAACAGAGTGCTCTTTTTTTCAATAACATATATACAATACAAGTTATTTGCTTCTAAACATTTGGTTTTTTAATTTGCTTATAAAAAATGATTATAAAAAGAGCACGCTGTTGCACAGATAAAGTTCTTCTTTAAGTGCTGTGAAAATTTGGTAGTTCTACAACAAATATGGTGCGAGAAAAGTTGGCCCTCGCAAAAGAGTTTTTGCTATGTTGTACATTTGTAAGACGGAGACAACACATACGGGTGTGGCGTCCTCTTAAATATAATTTTACAGACGTACAGAGGTAGGTAACATATTTTTAGGAAAACCAGTTAAAACCAAGCGGGAGAATTGGAGAAATAATACAAGAGAGCAGTTATCAATAGTAGAGTTTTGCTTCATCTTTGACGGTCGACGGAGTTCATGTTCATCCTGAGATCTTGCTGAATGGAAAGGTTGGAGACATAAGGTGCAGCATTAAGTAGTTCCTTTAGCGCTTGGTTTTGGAAGGTTTGTATTTTGTTGATGTTTGATATTTTTGCATTACCCCAGAGTTGAATGCCATATGTCCAGATGGGCTTAATTAGAGATTTGTAAATTAGGAGTTTAGTTTTAATGTGTGTATTTGTTGTTAATCCAAAAAGTTTTTAACAAACGCAGCCGTAGGTTTAAATTTTGTCTTTTAGATCTAAGGTGTTTAGCCCAGGTAAGTCAGGAATATGAAATTATTACTCTATGTTGTCATTCAAAAAAGTAAAAAAATATGATTTTTTAATAAAAATGAATTTTGAACGATTTGAAATTTTGTCAAAAAATATTTTAAAAAACATATTTAAATAAAAATAATGAGTGTTTTATGATAAAAGAATTACCTTGTAGAATTGTTCTATGTATCTATTCTATGGATATATGTAAATAGTAGATATATTTTAATATTTTATGTACCTTGTATCGTGTCTGTGACACAATCAGAATAATTATGAGCCGTCTACCATTCTACCTATAGGCTATAGGTAATATTATTATATTATATAATATCCAGTATCAGTGGTTCGTGAACAAAACAGAAAATATATAAATTGAATCACTTTTCAAACATAAAAAAATTATAATAATTTATCATTATTTATTATTTTAAAAACCATAATAATTCACAAAAATACAATTTCATCAAATCTCAACAATAAACTATGAAAGTCCTCTACTTTAGTGAGACTAAACATTTATTAGTACCTTAAGTTCTTAATAGAATAGATGAAATTTATTTTTTTCAACTTTAGTACTATACTTTTGAAAACTTTACTTAACTGGTGATTTCATTACCTATGTAATATGTATGGTAAATGACACTTTAATCTCGTTTACTTATGATAGGTCACACATAAGATTACAAATTTGTAGCACAAGCAATACATTAAAAAAAAGTTGTGTAATAACTAAAGCTATACAATTTTTGTGTACCTCCAAATTAACCTTATTTAGGTATTTAAGAAAATTGAGTAATTATAAATTAGCATTGATACAAAAATATAGTTAATATTTTAAAGTTACCATAAAGTCAAATGTTTCTTTTAGTATGATACCATGATTATTGATTTATTATTCACATTAAAATATTTGGTTCACCACATACCACTGAGGAGAATTTGGCTATCATCTGTTGTCTCTGTTTTACACGCATAACATGGTAAATTTGAGTTAAACTATTGTCTATTCTACATTTGGTTTTATTAATTACAATTTAATTGAAGAGAGTTATAAGTATGTCAGAATGTCAGATATAACAATTAAAAAATACTCATAATTCACTCAAAAATTAAAATATTAAAAAAGAATTTTGAAATTATGATGAACTCTAATTTTAAAAATTAATATGAACTGCTTATTACTATACATTTCATATGTTACACACATGTAAAACAGAGACAAAAAATGTTAGTGTGGCGTTTTCTTAACTTATTTCTTTAATGTCAATGTAATATTTTGCTCAAATATTAAACTATGATAAATATATATATTACATGGTACATTGATACATAACATTTAAAGTAAAATATATCCTTTTCTTAATACAACTAATAACTATAAGTCTATACAAGAAGCAGTCAAATTATTTTAACAGTTCCTAGTGAAATATTTCCTCTCATGTCACTAATTAATACCAATGTATAATTTAAAAAGCAATATATTGCATATTAATAAAAATAAGTCTTTCCATTTACAGTTAAAATTATCTATAATAAAAGTTTAATAGCAAAATTTAATATCTTCAAGAAAATATTGTAAACATGGTTTCAAAACAAAGAACATAATAAACTGTCTACAGACTAAAATCTTCTAAGCAAAAATTAAATTGTTTTAACTAATTAACCATAAACAAATATTGACATATTTAATCCAATTATGTTGAAGGTTCTTTGTTTTCATTGATTACATTTTTTAATCTATTTTCAAGATACCTTTTTCTGTATGTAATGGGTAATTCAGATAATTCTGAAATAAATTCAATTTGGTCTCCTTGTTTAGAATACATGTTTTCACCATCAGGTAAAATGTTTCTTAAAGCTAGATTTCTTTGAATTATTGTTTCATAATACTCTATTCCACCCTTAATGTATTCTTCACCAATATCACATACTTTTTCATCAGCTTTTTTTTGATAAAAATTCTCAGTAGCAGTGCGTGCAAAAAACCATACTAATACTCCTATATTACTTAATAAAACAAGCGCTAACATCCTAACTCTAGCTGGATTAGGTGGCAAACCGTTATATACATAACTTCCCAAAGCATACATTGGCATTAATACTACAGCAGATAAAACAGATTTAATAAATATTCGATGACTGTCTGTAAGCATCAATTCTCGAGCAATACTATATTTTTTGGCAGCTTCACTAAGGATTAATGACTTCAGAAATTGTTGACCAAACTCAGACTTGTCGTTTATAAGTTTTGTATATTGTTTCTGAAAAGAAAAAATTAACAACATACAAATTCTCTTGGTATATATTATAAAAAATAATTGATTTTATACTTGTAGATTTAAATCTGCAATATTTAGATTTGAAATATCGTCTACAGAATTAAGATCATAAATGCTTGGAATTCCTATATAACTTCCCATGCGGGTATTCAAACAACCGACATTTACTGGATAAATGCCTTTAGCAGTAAAAGGTTTTACAAAAGCTTTTTTAAAATCTGTCAACTTTAAATCATGAATCACATCGTCGTGTTGTTTTTGAAGAGATTCACTTAATGGAACAGGTTGATTATTTCTGAAAAATAATTAAACATGTATTTAGTTTTGATATAAAAAATTAACTATTGAACAATTTATTTAATGCAATGTTTGTTGAGACAGTGTATATTACGCCATTGGTCTTTTTGACCACGTTATATTTTTCAATAATAAAAAAACGTTTCATACATTTTTATTGAGTTTATCAAAACAAACAATTATTTCGTACAATTATTACAATTTATACAGTAGGTATATGTAATAATATAAAGTTAATAAGTAAAAAATAAGAATGTACAACTTATGGAGTCTCATGGCAGGCAATTGAAGTTTCTGAATACCTAACCTTATGCAGCCAAGTTGTTAAATTAATTTAGTATATTATTATAGTATTTTTAAAAGTTAGGAAGGTAGGTATATCGAATATCAATGATTGAATTGTAAAATATATATGTTTTATTCAAGATGTAAAAAAGAGATGCCATAATTTTGACCATAGGGTCGAGGAAATGAAATGAATAAGTTAAGAATTGTGAGTTAAGCTTGTTGATAGCTTAAACATTTTTTTTTCATATTCAAAACACTAAGATGTTGATTACACATTTACATGGCATTTGTTATCTTGGTTTTGATTTTAAATTCAAGACTACAACACTTGTTGTATTGGTTACAAAATCGACAAGCAACCGTTATATTTTTTCAAACCTATTTTATTTAGTTGATGGCACACTAGAAATTCGCTAGGCTTACCGGCTTAACACATGATGGATGTTTGGATCATATCATTTGGTGCAGTGCGGGATAATGTTAAACCGATTTGGTCCAGCGAATTTCTAGACACGGACACTCAAAAATAGATAAATAAAAATATTGAGATGACTATATTTTGCAGTAACATACTTGTTTGCTTCTTTTAAGTATTTGACATGATAACCATTAAAGATTATGTTGGAACAATATTCGATAGTACCGGCACCAATAGTCACAGTGCACAACGCGTTAATTACGAAATCCGACGTTACTTTGAACTTGCTCATATTAATTGTCAATTACTATTAATCTGTAATCAAATACATAGTTACAATTATATTTTATAAGCTTTGAGATGATTAATTTATTCGACAACAGTTGTACCTATCCCAATCCTGGCGTTCTACAATATTATAATACAGACATCCGTATTCCGTTTACGAATAAAGAGTTGCAGAAATTTCAAATTTGAGCTAGCCGGCAGGCACAGGAATCGGAAAAAAACTGAAAAATCGGATTGTCCGGCTATGATTATGATATCACATAATAGACAAGAGATGATATTATGAACAATCAGATATTGTAATCTATTCCGAGGTGATATCATGATTGTTGATTACCCCGCGGTTTAAAATATTTTTATTCGTGCTCATGGATCATTAATACTATTATCGTCAGTTTCGGTTTTCGTTTGAAATATGATTTTCAAATTTTCTAATTGCACCAATATAAATAGTGACACCATTTTTATGAAAAAATATTCGTTTATCTCAAAAAGCACTTGTAATGTCTCACAACACACCACACGTCATACTATACAATTACCACAAGAATAAACAGATGAATTTCATCCGATAAATTATACCGTTATTTACCAATATTCAATATTATTATAATATTATTATTATTATTTTTTATTACCGACATTGCTTATCGGTGAGATCATCCGCGCCGGTAAAGCCAACCAACTACGTCAGGCCTGCCGGTTCCCCACACCTCCGCCGCATGTCATCCTCTTTTCGTCACCACCCGTTCCCGCATCCTACGCCAATGGCAGTAGCCAGTAATGTTCGTTTATCATTTCGTTACATCTTTTTACGTTTTATTTTTTAATTTTTACGCAGTAATACGCACACGGCAGAAACCTCACGCACACGCGACCCACGTCCTATACATGGCTACACGCACCCGCACACGCCACCCGCCCGTTACATAACACTATCGCCGTAAACCACGGTGCACACTTCGGCCCTCGGGTTCGTTGCACCGCACCGCACCGCAACGCACCGCATCGGTCGTTGAGAGCTTGGAGCGGCGATTTAACCGCCCATACCCGACAACTGCTACCCGGCACTACCCCGGCATCGATCGTCGATTGATTCGGCAGTCGGCACTGACAACAGACAGTGACAACCGACTTGCGATTTCGATCCGTTCCATGACGGATAACGACGACGACGACACCAACAACGACAACGACAATCGCGTGCGCCGCCGCCGCCGCTGCTGTCCTCGTGCGTTGTTGTATAAATAGGCCCAAACGTCCGGCGTCGCGCGCAGTTGGTTCGCGCGTAGCGTCTGCGGCGGTTTGTGCGATTATCGACTATATTACGATGACCGTCGTGGTCGTCCTCAGTTAGTTGTATCTCCACTATCCTGCGACTTGTGGGCCTGTGGACAGTCGACCGACACACCGGCCGCCGGTACCCATTGGCCATTACCCGTCGTCAGTCGCGCGATGTCCATGTTCCGGCCGCTGATCGATGCCTTCTGGTCGCCAGACATCTGGCTGCCGCCGAACACACAGTGGTCCGACCTGGAACCCAACGATCGGGTCCAGTACACCGACCACCGGCACCTGATCTACCCGTTGCCCATGGCCGTCGTCGTGTTGCTCATAAGATATCTGCTCGAAAAGTGAGTTGAACTTTAGGGTGGACGGGCTAGGGAGGGAGTGAGTTTCTTTAGGACTATGGTCGGCGGTTTTCGGTTATTTTTTCCCCTACCTCTAAGGCGGTCCTCTCTTTCAGATATTGTTTTTCGCCGTTTGGTCTGTCGCTGGGCATCAAGAGCACCAAACCAAAAAAGGTCCCGAACAATGACTTGCTAGAGGATATGTTTGCGCGGAACAGCAAGTGGAATCACAAGGAGGTGGTGGGCCTGGCCAAGAGGCTCGATTGGACCGAGCGACAAGTAGAACGATGGTTGAGGCTGAGGCGAGCACAGGACAGGCCTTCGACCCTCATCAAATTCTGCGAGAGCAGGTAACGTCTTTCTAACAATTTTTATAAACAAACAAAAAAAACCTAACCTCTTGCGGCCTGATTGGTGTTTGTGTTCACTTACAAGTCTATATGTTTCTTATCTGTAATCAAATAACTGTGTGGCATAGTAACAATGCTACGTCTTAAATTTTCAAGTGTTATTGAGCTGTGAGCCACCAAATAATGCGGGATGATGACTAATGGTGTTCTTGTCAACCCTACTACAATTCTTTATCCATAGCTTGAGAATCACCTGGTATTAATACATTTATTATGTTAAGATATCCTGTAAATTTTCCAAGTTGTTGGTTTAAAGAATTTTGTTGACTCTATAATATAGGTACACAATTTGAATATATTTCATTTATTTTTCTATTGTACCTATACATTAATAGGTCTATTGTTTGTTTCATTTGTTGAAACTAAGACCAAAGACTAACCTATGGATTCTCAAATACCTACTAAAACAGGTTATAGCCTTATAGCGAGCCTTGTAGATAAATTCAACACACAATATTATGTAAAATATATTATTTAATAAAAACGATGCGTAATATAGAGAAATAAACTAAAATAATGTTGATATTGATCAACAACACCTGCATTACAAATAACGTTAAAAAAAAAAATTATTTAAAAATATCTTAAGTATGTTTTCTACATCAGTGATGTATACTTTTCATTAGAGTTTTGGTACAAATTGACTATTCGACATTCGAGATATTATTCTTTAATTTTAATTTTATTCAATAAATAGAAGAAGTTATATAGGTAATAATTCATAACTTATCAATAACAAATAAAGGAAAATACAATGATCCACTATAATATACAGAATGATTGGAATAACACATAGACCCAATCGAATTAAAAAAATTAAAAGCCGCATTGAAACCAAAATTTGTTTGAAATAAATTAACCTAACTACTATTTGGAATTCAAAGCTAATATTATTTAAATACATAATAAAAGACATTGGACTCATAAAAAATACATTAAAATAGTTATTTACTGATTCATGCTAAAAGTATTAGACCGTATACCTATATGTTAATTAAATTTATTACTATATTAGTTATTTTCTGTCAACTAATTGTATTTTAACTTGTATTATAGGTACCTTTTATCTATTTAGTTTATTTTTCAGTTTTATTATTTCCTCATAAAAATATAGACCATAAAGTTTCAAGATAAGTTGATAAATATTATTATTTTTTATTTGATTATATCTGTTTTCAATTATAATTATGCGGTTATGACGTTCAGTTCATTATTTTACAACAATGATTACCTGCCTAATAATTTTTAGATATATATATTTATTGTTCATAAAATACTTCTACCTAGTATAAATTCTATAAAACTTTTCTCAATGGTGAATTCTATAATATTTTTATTCATTAACTATTATTTTTAAGAGGATGTCAGTACACTGCAGTTTGTTTTTTCATGCGCAACATAGCATATTTTTATTTGAACCAACCTTGGTTGGTCTAATATAACATTAGAGTAGTTTTATTAGTCTATTATCAAACTTAAATGTAGGAATATTATTTATGTTGTACGTTTGGCTTTTTTACGATATTTCAATTTTCATGTTAGTTATGAGCATTTTGTATATACAATAATGTTACAATTTGAAAATTCCTATATCCATCTTTAAATTTAAAATACCATTAAAAAGCCAATGAAGGAACACACATAAAGTTCTTAACTTTAAATTTGATAATAAGTCAATTCCCTTCAATACTAAAGTTAACAAAACAATAGTTGTTTTGCTGAAAGCAAATATGGTATGTTACTCATTGGTCAGATAGAGAAAACAAATAGTGCGCTTACATCCTCTTAATACTTCAGTACTATTCATATAAAAAAATGTAACTAGCTTTAAATCTTAACATAATATATTGATTTATTTAAGTTTTAAATTACTACAGATTTTATGTTTGTTTGGTCAGTTAAAAAAAAAACCTTTAGAACATGTTAATGAATAAGTGAAGCCATTTAAATATTTTCTATTCAAATATTTAACAGTATAGCATGACAGACAAATGAAAATTAAGCGTGGAAATAGGTTATGTAACTGTTTTGCATATATATTGAATAGTTTACTATATAATTAAACAAATTACATTTTAATATTGTAATATGTAAAGCGAGATGTGAAGCAAGAAAGGCTTAGAGAGTTACAACTTTAAAGGCTGTCCAATCAGTGATTTTAATTTACTCGTTTGTCGTTTGGCCCACCTTCCCAAATTATAGCCATGTATTTAAATAGAATTTTGAACTAGTAGTTATCAAGTTGTAGGCATTTAAAGTAATTAAATGAGCAGAGCATAATTTTTCGGGGTTTCTCTGTGGCGCCTGTGCCACTACTTCGCAGTTTATAAATTATAACAAGATTATTAGGAGGTGTCAAACTGATCCGACAAATATTCTGAAATTAAAAGAATTGTACAATTATAATTAATTAAATATTGTTTCAAAAAAATGAATGTAGATACTTAAATGCGTCATCTTATGTTTTTATGTATTTACTTTTAACTAATCTATGACAATTATCATTTAAAAAATAATTTCGGTGCTTTGTTAATCCAAGTGGTTAAGATTTTATAAAAAAAAAAATGCTCAAATAGGTACCTACTTGCTTTTATTTCTAAATATTTTTTGATTAAAATAAATCAACCTTGGTAAAATCTTAATTTTATATCCAATAATGATTAAACATTTTGAACTTTTTTTTATTCATTCTAATATTGGTACATGAAATTCAAATGCTTAATACAAACAAATATTAACTACTTATAACAATTTACTTAAATTACTATAGGTACCTAGTTTTTGAATATTTATATAGATGTTAATACATTAATGTTTTTACTCACATTTTTTTTTTTTACAGTGGTTGGTATAAATGAAAAATTATTAAACTTTATCAACATACCTACCTATAATTGTTAATATTTAATTAAGTATAAATAATTTTTATTGATTAAATTTAAGTTCTAAACTCCTAATTAGTA